TATAACTATATTACAGTTTTCTGTACAATTGCTACCCTAGCAGCCTGTCCTGTCCCATCCTGTATTCGTTCAGCTGGTCGTTGCTTCTGCAGAAGTGTACAAATACACATTTTGTCAAATCCATTGCTGGATTTACTGAATCGCATTCTAACCCTTTTGAATTTATCAAGTTCATTTTGAATTGTAATTCTCTTCTACTTGGGCAGTAGTTAGCTCAAGTCTGGTGCTCCTTACAATCACCATATGCCATCAACAATTTGTTAATGAAAATGTCAAATAACATCAAATCAGAGCAGAACTGTAGAGAATCGCACTCAACACATCCTTGCAGTCTGACTGTGAATGATTAATTATTACTCTGAGTAGAGTTTTCCAAACTTTTTTTATAACCTCACTTTTAAATTGGTGTCAGACCACATTCCCCTACTCTTATGGAAAGTCGTTAGAGTCACTTAAAGTAAAGCTGTGCCCACTGCTTCTCCTCTGTTCAGGAAGCTTGTAACCTTGGTGTAGAAGGAGCAACATTAGTTTGACACAACCTGATCTTTCTTTCAGAAGCTCACCGATAGTTTGCCTTTTCCATTACTTTTCCAGTTTAAACTATTGACCCCGAGTTCTGAACAGAGGGGTGGAAGCAGAGAGACAAGGTAAGCCTTCAGAGTTTACAGCATCCCCCTTTTGTCTCTAAAGCTTGAAAGTAATTTACCATATGGGGCATCTGATCTAGGCATGTGGATGTTGTTGTTGTGCTTGTGCTGCAATCTCTTACATATGGCAGAAAAAGTAGAGCTTGTCCAAGTGAGGACATGAGAGCCCTTGAAGTATTCACTACTCTGCCCTAACATCACACAACACAAGGACAAGGAAAGTCTTTTGCTCCTGCGTCTATGGGTCCCTCCTCCATCATTCCAAGATTTCAGTAGCCAAGCTATTCCAGTGAGAAGTCACATCCACAAAACAGAGAAGGCTTCTCAACAATATCCTGCACTTCCTTCAAAGGTCCCAGCTGACTGAATTGAAACACAAAAACCATACAGCAAGTAAGGTAAACACATGTCCAGTAATTATTTCCATGGCATCAAAAGCCAGGGGGCTTTTTACTACTCCCAACATCAACTTTGATAATAAATTAACCTCTTCAGGAAACCCTTGCAAGGATGGATGTGGAATCACAGTATCAGTAATTACACTTCATCAACAAGACCTAATCATTTGGCAACTCCTATTTGAAGATGATGCATGAGAATTTTTTCCTGACACGTAAGTCTGTGCTGACTGGGGATATGATTTTTCTCAGGTCACCGTAAATACCTACTATGCACATTAAATCACCTCCTTGTTTAAGGCTGGTGACATAAAAACATGTAGTTGTTTTTAGGAAATAAAACCTTCATCAATAGGCCAATAGTACCCTTCCTCCTACGGAGTTTTCCCATCACATTTCTTGGTAGTTTAAAAACACTGAAAGGTATTGCTGTCTCGCTCTAGGCAGTATTTGGACAAATCCAACATTTTCCAAGTGATCTTTTGTTTTGTTAATCTCTTACACTACATTTATATGGTTCTAAAGTGCATCCTGGATGTAGCTGCTCTTCTGCAGTGTAACTAGATTACACTCTGCATTCCCTTGGTGTCTTAGTCTAAATGAATTTGCTCTTGAAAAAGAAAAAAAAAGTTCTTGAAAGGTGAAAATGGGAACATTCAGTGAGTCAGTCACTTCACATTATTAACTAGCGGTAAATGCAAAGCAGCTTACCCACTGCAGAAAGTTAAGAATACACAAATACACAGCGTTACCACTGAGTAAGTGGCATACTATAAGTATGCATTCTCACTCTCTCCTGGTAAAATTTTCATGGGCCTGTAACCTCAATAGGAAATACTGAATGTATCCATTAAAATGATGGTTTTAAAAGTTATACTTTCAGAAAAAGGACAGATATGCAGATATGAAATTCATAACTCATTTATTGAATATATATATGCAAGGATACCAATAAAAAGAAACTAATACTGCAAACTACAACTTTGGAAGTAAAGCCAATATAACAGGAACAAAATATACATAACATTGTAGATAGGAATGCATTTACCCTCTTTCATACATTCCTTGTCTTTACACCTAACGTAAATGTATGCTAGAGCAAAAGCTGCAAATGTTAGCCTAACCTGAGTGCTTTTTGACAAGCAACAGTTCTCCAGGATTCTTTAAGGGTTGAGATGTCACTGCTCACTAATGAATGTGCATACATATGCATATATAGAAACTGCTTCAACAAGTATATAAATCAAGAGCTGTGTCCTGTTTTTAACCTCCCTCGCTAATACAGTGGAATCTGTTTCTGGTGACATGAAAGAAGAGTTACTATTTGCTATAATGTACTTTCAGTTCTCTTAAGATTAATTTCATCTAATGAGGATTAATTTTCTTGTCAATCTGGTTCAGCATATTAATATTTTTGGAACACACTGATTATCACCTGCCAGGTAAGTCTGATATTTCAGATAGATTCTCTCCTCTTCATCTTTCACTCTGGTTTAGCATGAAGTTATTTTTCATAAGTAAGTAGCAGTAAGAAGCACACTCTCTTCCTGGATATTACATTTTAGGGGCAGATTCGGTATGATCATACCATTCTAGATCAGCACAGCTCTTTGTACCTAAAGTCAGCCTTTGTGGAGTGTAGGTGTGACTCCTACTAGAGCCTTATCACAGAACCTCCTGTGGATCAACACCTGCTGAATGAGTAGATCTTTTGATCACCTGATCTATTTCACCCTAGCTAGCTGCACTGACACCAATACTGCCCCGGACTTTCACCCTTCCTCGAAATGGAGTGATAGCACAGCTTCCTGCTCTAAGTGTTTGATCACACCTTGAGACTCCGGTACTACACCAGCTGTATCCTCAAATTATTTGAACAGTATTCTACTGATGCCTGTCCTTCCTTGGTACAGTCCTTTCTCAGTATAGCACAATTGCAGATCTGTTAATATAGAGATACAGTGAGTTGGGGAGATCTGTTAATATAGAGATGCAGTGAGTTTGGGGAGAAACCTCCCTTCTTGGAGGGTTCCAGGCATCTTAAACAGCACACACTACTCTTGTGAGCAAAAGAAATGCCCAAAGGCCAAAAAAAAAAAAAAAATTTAAATAAAGTGAAACCAGTTTCGTAAGACAAGTTTTGTTAAATTCATGAGTTCTCTGATTGTGAGATGAAAGCAGAAGGTGCCTATTAAAAAAAAAATCTCAGTAACAAATAGACTGCATTAATTTAACTAGCTAATTTAAACATACCTATGTCACCTATAGAGCACTTTCTTTACTTCTAACATTTCTGGGAAGGCAGTAGATGCTCCAGAATAATCTTCAATATATGCTTGCAAAGATTACATCGCTTTACCAAAAAAGAAAAATTTCAGACAGACTGTCTGAAATTCCAAGCTAAAATACACATAAGAAGACAGTAATGGCAGTATTTTATCTTTAAAAAATGATGTAAATGTTGTATACTATCATACATTGTCATGCTTTTTAAAACTACAATTAAGGACGTAAAAGATGTACAGTAAATACACTGCTGAGGTACATTTCTTCTAAATATTAACACCACGACAGAATTACTCCCCAGCAGGTAATGCTACTTGGGAACATATAAATACAATTTTTACATTGTAAGGCACTTTTACCCAGCATACATAAGTTGAAGTCAGTTATGACAAATTTGAGGCTCGTAAGAAAGATCTTTGCTTTTGACTTTGTTTCCATGAATTGTGAATTGAAGACAGTTTAGTCAAGCCATCTCAGCACAAAGAGGTAACAGGTAAACCAGCCACTTCCTTTTCTGCTACCCAAAGGTAAAGTGCTGTTCTGGTTCTTCAAGGCATGGAATGGGGTAATTTATTTCACAACAGAGGAGTTATTGGACTGAATATTATACTAAGCAACTGACACGCTATGAATTAGAGCTCAGTCTCAAATATAATCAGTATGCTGGCAGATCTACCCCATGCAACCTTAGTTAAAATACAGTAGCTGCAAACAAAGTGCCTTTTTTCCATGGGAGGGCCATGTCTGAGGCACAAATCTAGAAGTAATTTAAACACTGAAGGATGTTATTTTGCATTCTAAAACTGTTCTGAGTGGCTGAAAAATGTTCATATTCTAGGAGAAACAAAACAACTTGGTAGAGAATTTCAATAATCGATCTGTCATTGCAATTCAAGTCACGCTTTTAATTTTGAAAGTTACAAATACAAAATAAAAATGATCAATGGCATCATGTTTAGAGCAGTAACTGAATATTTTCTGTACACGGCAATATTTCTTTCCAAAATGGCATTATTCTCCAGGAAAGCAAACAGAATTGATTGAATTCTAACAGGTAAAATGTTAGAAATTCCAATATACAGTAATTGAGTCCCTCAAGACATTAAGGGAATGCATAAGAAGACAAATGACACACGTTAAATCTTTTAAAAATACAAGTAAAAAATGCTACAGAAACGCATGTTACAAATGAGCCGTTTTTGCAATACCAATCACAGAGGAACTGTAGCAGTTTATAGTCAAATCAGTGTATTTTGCTTGTTTCCTTTCTTCAAATCCAGAAGTTTTGTTGGGAGTTCAGAGTGAAACAAGTCAAAACCCTAAACAAACAATAAGGTGATGCGATAGCAACAGACAAACATGTGGACTAGATTCAGCTTTTTGGTTTTATTTAAGTAAGTCTGAGAATGTGCTTTAACAGACCAATTGAAGAAGCTAGTAGCCATTAGAAATGATGAGGTGTTTTGAAAGCAGTCAGAGGACTGATCTGTCAGGTTTGGTATAGCCTAGATCTGATTATTCCCTAAAGGAACAGCAAACTCTAGCAAGTAGAATTCCATGACATGATTGTTGACTTGAGAGAAAGAGAAAAAATAATCACGAAAACAATAAGGATGATAAGCAAAGTTTCTCATATAGTGGTCATAAGATTAAAAAATAAATACCAATCTAGCAAAAAAGGTTGTTTCCTCATTCTTCTTACAGAATATGGGACCTTTATGCATATTCTGGACAAAACATGAAGTGTTCCACACAACACAGAACACTTGAGGTATGGACGTCAGATATGGTGGCTAAATTCCATAGTGAGTTAAGAGTTGTTACTCTGAAGTAAAAGAGATTGGGCTGCAGAGTCCAAACATTTGTATAGTAAGGTTTTAATCACACTTAGTGAAGTGTTCTTTGTAAATCAGGGACACAGAAAGAGGTGGGTCGTTGTTGGGGAAAGAATGAACTACAGCCCTTTGGCATGAGTTCTAAAGCTCACAGCTCAGAACCAACAGCTGCTCAAGTAAATCTCCCGCAAACAATGCTGGGCGGAATGAGCAATCACAACAGGAACAACCTGAAATGTTCAAGCGTGCTTCGGTGTACACTGAGTCCTTTTCTACTGTGTGCTTTGCAAGCAAAAACAGAGCGCAGCTTTCCCATGTAATAGCCTCCGTAACTTGTGTATGAAGAAAATGCAAAATTCACAAAGTACCAGCTTGTTGCCACCACGAACTGTCCATGTTGTTAATTAAACTAGCTAAGACCTTCCCTCATTGCATGAATCCACTAAACAACTTACACATTCCAAATCTTAAGGTTTTTATTCAGTCCAGAAATATAGATCTTACTTCATTTCAATGTCTGCCTTAACTTTTGACACTGTACATATTACATATCATTTATATAGTGTTTCATTTTTTCCAGACACTGCAGACTACAAACTACGTAATATTGACATGTAAAACTCTGCCACTTACTGAAGGCTCACACACATGAACGTTTCAGGCAGTTCAATGAAATTTCTAACAGAGTTGGGTAGTAAAAAGTTACTAACCCTTTTCTGATTTTAGAAAACAATTTAAAAGAATTAGTAGTTATGATGTCTTAGCCATTCCCAGTTCTATAACTCTGTCCCTTGAACCTGTTTAAAAAATGATGAAAACAATAGTAAATTTAAAATCATACAGAAAAGCATTTAGCAGCTCTGACATTACATCTATATTTAGCAATAGAAATGAGGGCCTCCCTTTTTATAGTTACAAAGTCAGCGGAATTTAAAAAACAACAAATCCTCCCCGTTTTTCTACAGTATGCCAGTAGAAGGTACTTATCTGCATACACTAGATTTAAATACTTCACTGCAATAAACTACATTAAACGTATATTGCGTTTCAGTCTCGGTAACAGATCTGTCAGGAGTAACTTCCATACCTAGTTTCCATTGAGCTGCTGCTGAGGAATGTCATTATGGTCAGTGCCTGATTTGCCACGGCTTTTGCTTTCTCTTTCTTCATCCTCTTCATCTCTTTCATCATTTCCACTATGGTTTTTACAATAGAGTCTAGCGCAATAAAAGAAACAGTGAGGACATTTACTGAAAACATCTATCAAAACTAGACTTTCCTCTCAGTTAGTTTTGAGATGTGCTAAAAGTTGCTAACTCAAGTCCTTCGTGGTTTTCAGTCAAGCATCAGTTAAACTGAGAAAGAAAACAAGGTTGAAGACTAGCTAACAAAACTTTGATCAATTCTAGTTTTCAAGAACTGCTACTACATTGCTCAGAGAATGCCCTCTTGTGGGCACAACCACACTGGCAACTCAACTGCAGCCAAGTCACGAACGCCAGCAGTTCAGCAAGCAAGTATGGAAAGGTACAGGGTCCAAAAAACCCCAGAAAATAAGATACAAAACGTATCAATATGGAGGAATCATGACATAAATTATCCAGGGTTTCCTCAGTATAAATTACAGATTAATTGAGGAGGAAAATATACCACAAGTCAATTAATTTTCTCATTTCTCCTATTACAACACTACTACAGAAACTGTAAATTAGCAGAGTAACGGAAATATTTTGCCAAGTCAACAATTACTTAAAAATATAATTTTAAGGAAATAATATTCTCTTTTTTAATAACATACTTGACTAGCCAAGTTAGGCAGAAAAAAAGCCATGAAATATCTTCACTTTCATTATAGATTCAAGAACTACATAGGTCCTTACTTATAAATTCCTCGTGACATATTCTCAATGTATTTAGCTTTGTCTTCTACTCCACAGTGGTAATGGTATGTTTTTATGCAGGCTTTAATTTCACACCCAATAGTTGCACCAGGCTGGCTGCAAAGTGTGCATTTCTGCACAGGGGAAAGAAGAGAATGACACTGTTCAGCCTTTCAAAGCTTAGTATTCAGTTTAGTATTCCTCATATTTATGGCTACCATTTTGGAACAGAGTAATTTCTCTGGCAGATCATCCTTCCAATGAAAAGTTAATCAAAGAAACTGTAAAACAGAAACTGTGTAATGCTAACCTATTAAAATATGAACACTAGGATTTACCTGTCCATTGCATTGAAAATTGCTACATGATTGCACACAGTATCATATTTCCAAGATCATTTTATTGCCACTGAAGTTAGTATGTTAAATACAAGATGAATCTTAAATGTTTGGGTTTTTTTTTTCAAGGAACAATATTGTTAGGAGTTGTTTGTTTTCTTTTTACCCCTTATAAATCTTTTACCACTTTAAAAACATGCTGAATTTTAATAAAACACATGTGACATTTTACCAACATCCCCCTCCCTGAGGCCTTAACATATTTTCATATTAAAACATCAAAACAGTTAGAAACACGTCACTGCATGAACATATTCTCTAAGTTTATTTGTAGTTTTACACAGTGTGCTTTTAGTAACACAGGATCCAAAGCTGTTATTCTCTTATAGTTATAGGAAGGCTAATAATAATTTACTATGTACATTGTCATATAGAACCCTAAATACCACATGCCCAAACACCACTAATTTTTAAGGTGATTTCTATGTGGTTACCTGTCCCAGAAGTAACCATACATTTAAATTTTCTGTTTAGAAACAGATGGAAAAGATTGTTTCATAAAAGGAAGGAGGCAGAGCTATATAGACCATAATAGAACCACTAACACATTCATCATGTTCTGCAGATACATACCATTCTTTTTCCTCTCTTGATTTCTTGAAGTACAGTTTTGATATCAAAATCACCAAACTCTGCCCTTGAAGTTGTTGTTAGCTGGACAGTGCCAGAAGAGAACAACTGTAAAACAAGCAAGTCAAAATAATTCCAGGTCATCAACATGATTAGAAATTTTTTTATGTGCAGGAATAACTGAGTATTGAACATCCCCTTCTGTGATCTCAGACAGCATGTGCTTTAGCAACAAACTAGGAAAAAAAACCCATGCTGAGTAATTGGCATGATGAGTATTCTTTCTGATACCCACCTGACTGCTTTAATTATATTTGTTGCCTTGGAGAAATGTATTTTAAAAGACAAAGGAGTAGACAGGAAATAATGACATGATGAAAACACGAAGTAATAAATGGGCAATATTATCAATTACACTGCTGAACTTTTTAGGAATATTCCATTTCCTTCCCTGTGACATATAAATAATTCAGCTTCACAGCAGAGCTGATGTCAACACACCTGAAAAGCCCTGAGGGATGACAATGGAGCACATAAGTACCATCCCTCCTATCATCATCCTGCTATATTCAGTTTAAACTGTCTTAAAACTGAAGCTCAGGTACACAAAGCAGTGAAGAATACTCTAAGATTGAAGGCTGCTGGCACACACCAGCTCCTTTTTTAGTGAGGCTAGGTATAGGCAGACAATTAACACTCCACAGATTGCCTGGACTATTTACTCCTTTTGAAGTACAACAGGAACCACTGAGGTTTGTTACTGACAGCCCTACCTCATTCATAGAACCAGTTATATGAAAGATAGCACTATCTGCTGCTCATGTTTATTGAAATTAGCAGATTCTTTTCAGGCTGACAGTTCTATAAATGTGATCATCTAAAAAAACAAGGGCTTTCTAGAATTTCCACGTCCCACTCTGCTTGAGTCACACAGCCTGAATCCACTGGTCAAAAAATTAGTGAAGTTCATGGATTCTTCCTGGATTTTGCCTGAATGCCTGTGGAGTAAAGGTATTTTACTTTTGGGGTGGAGCCTTTTAGTTAAAACTGTCTTCCTGTTCAAATATTGTGTATGCATTCAGATGCTAAGGGAGCATTTTTAATAAGCTAAAGAGTCTCCCTGAGCGAATTTCATCTCTTAGCACGTAGCCAGCTTTTATCCATATTGCCCGCAGTGAAAATAAATGAATTGCTCACTTTGCAACACTTCAGTGCTTGAAGAGATCGTCAGCACACAGACAATACTCGTGCATAATTACATATGAGGGTACTGTATTAAAATCTAAAATAGCAATTCAGACAACATTCACATAATAGACTGGTTAACAACAATAGTGTTACTCACCATGCACTTATAGTGCGCTGCAGCCTTTTTGGCATTAAATATATGAAGCTTTCCTCTAGCTTCATTTTCTTCTTCACCTGCATGACAGAATCCACATTTAGGTTTTGTATCACTGGGGCTGCTTCTGTGGGGAGACCTGTCTCTCTGAAAGAAAAACATTTTACTAAAATATACTGCTGGGTTACAAATAAGGTTGTAATTTTAAAAGCCTGTGGCCACCAGCTGGAGGCTCAGACAAATGCAAATTTTAATAAAAGTTATATTTGCAGAGAAGAAATATGCAATTCTGTCTTCTAAGAAGTTTAGCATATTTACTGCTTACATAGGAACTGCTTTCTATTTCATCTGTGCCATGTGAGGACGTAGATCTAGTGTCTTCTGATTGCCCTTTTAAATTTGTTTTTCTTGGCTTTCCCTTACGACCCCTCCTTTTTCCTTTGGGAGGTGAAGGCTCCAACTCGTGTTCATTGATACTTTCTTCTAAATCTGCTTTAGAAATTAGAAAACATTATTAAACATTCTCAAAAATTTTATGTAAACCAACCAACAAAAACAAACCCTCCACAAACAAACAAACAAACTAAAAACCAAACAGACAAGAAAAAAACATAACCTGTATTTTCTGTATTTTGGTGAGAAATAAAAATAGCAATTTTTTCCCATTTATTACAAACATGCAACTGCAGATCCTGAAAACATTATTTACTTCTTTATACATATCACATGGCTTTGTGATGTGTCTTTATAGCATAATATATGAAGAAGCTTTAGGATTTATTACAACTTCTACTTTCAGACCCAAAGTGTGTCCTCAGATATATATATTCAAGTCCACTGAAAATAACTCATTTAAACTACACTGAAACCAGAAAATTTTTGCAACCATGAAATAAGCTTTTAATTTATTTTTTTAAGATGCATAACTCCAATGTAAATTGCCCTTGATATTATGCCAGTGTTTCTAAATAATACCTCTCTTGCTTTATTAATTGATACTTTTTGACTTAAGAAAAAAATTGACCCATTTTGGCTATCACAATAACATCAAGTTTTAAAACTGAACTATATTTTGCCTCCATGAAACAAATCTAAAATTTCATTTTTATATCTACAGCTAAAAGCAGACACCAGTTTACAGAAAATCATCCATACTGACAATATCTCAGATAAAGTATTTACAGACCGTTAAGAATATAAGAACGTAAATTTTTAATACAGACGTACCAAAGAGGTCTGACAAGTTCCTTTGAAAATGTCAGGTCAACTGCTCAATGCTACGCAGAACTGTAGTCCAGTGTTCTAGCAGACTGTCTTTTTCATTACTCAAAGCTCTACAGTTAATACAGATCAATTCTGCAAACTTAAGGTTGCTTCCAACATGATCTAGTTAAGTTATATCTGATACTGAATAAACAGCTCTGTCTAGTCCCTAGCAACTTTCCTGACCATCAGCTGCTCACAGGAGCATCTTTCTTTTTTCATTTAATATGTAACACCCACCCCTGCTCAAACTGCAAAGATATTTCAGCAGACTTGTTTAAAGAAACATGCACACACACCACTAAAGAACTTAAATTTCTCAAAATCCAAACCACAAATATCAGTACAAGCCCCAAATGGAAGATTTAGAACATCTACTTTATACATTAATGGGCCACTTAACAGTTGTGGTATTATTATTATTATTAAAACACTGCTATGGCACTTATTGCCATTATATCGTGGTCTCAGTATCCAGACAGGACATCTTACTTTGAAACTAAATGCTGCTTTGCCAGAACTTGTCTTTCTTACATATTATCACATAAAAATCAAATCACATTTCTATCTTACGATTGACAGTGACTCAACTGCACAAAAGTTTGAAGTCAAAGACTTGAACATATTCCACAGCTATCAACCTGGAGTAGAAGATAACTGGACTACTGGCCCAAGGCCTTGCATACAAGTGTATCCTGTTAAGCTTAGACTATCACATCTGTTGCTAATCCCCAAGAAAGCTACAGCTTCTCACATATTTATTAACGAAGGACAGAAAACTAATCCAAATGCATCACAACAGGTTATACTGAAACATAATTCCCACAAAGCTTTACTCGATTGTATGGTTAGAAAGAGGCAAAAATTTGATAATAAATTAATACAAATCTGCAAATTATTTTGCCTTAAATTGGCAGATTATTCAGCTATATACAGATATTCCCAAGTTGCTACTAAAACACACCAGTCTATCTACCACAACATTCCTATGCTTTAATATATATATATACTATTCTTTTCTAATTAGATGACAAAAGCACCATTTATTTTACTCTGAAAAAATAAAATACATGATGACATGGATTATCTAATGAAACAATACATTTCACATTTTCTTCTCAGCATTTACTATTTAATATCATTTTTCATTTATAATTACTTGCTGAATTCCCCAAGCAAGATTATGCAGTTTAGATATTGTATTTCTCAGACTGCACATAGCAAATTTTATTACAACCTGAAAACCTCTTTCAAAGAAAAGAATTCTCTTTCGTCTTGTCCCTCACCAAATGAACTCTCCACCAATGCATTAAAAGACATTTGTGAATCTTAGTCTCTAGTCTTACATTTACAGAAATCATAGATAATTATTCTAGAAAAAAGTCTTACAAAAATGTGACTATTGAATTCGTGACCCTTTAAATAACATCAGTAACAAGTTAAACATATTCCTTCCAAAATCATTCCAGATTTCCCTACTGTATTTGATGAAGCAAAATGTAGTCCATTCACCAACATTCCTTATTTTTTCCAAAGCTCCTTATCAATTCTGTCAACCATAATGCTTTCCACCTCTTAGCTCTTATTTTCTAAATAACATTCAAGCATATCCGGAACTTTCTACAGTCACACTTTCAAAACTGGAAGTGAATCATAACTGCTAAAAACCAAGTACACGTTATGAAAGCCAGATTTCTATAAGAAATGTCACAGCCTCCTTATAGAATAAGTTCTTAAGTGCTATTTTTTAGTCTACAATTATGAGAGTATTTAAGATTTGAAAGTAAAAATGCTGTATTTTTAAAAGATGGTTTCAGTGTAAGATTAAAAAAGCATCAAGATTGCACAGCTTTCCTCAAAGGAGGACCCCTTTTCTGTGCTCAAAACTAGTACTTCCAAAAAATTTCAGAGTTCACTGAAATCTAGATGCTACACGATACGCCATTAAAATAAAATTCCTTGCAGATTTAGGTCTCCTACAAGTTGACCTTGGACCTACAGATTAACGCCACCGATATGCGAGGATCTGCTCTACCACATCTATCTGCAAGACTGATACCTCAAAACATTAAAGTTTCTCTCATTTTTAACAGCACTATGAACTAGTGTAACAGTACAGGAAGAAAGAGGTTGTAACCAGCTTTAAAATACACCTGCCTTGGATGGTCTTAACTGTTCAATATACAATTTGGTTTGTGCCCTATCCCTCCCCTCAAGCCCACTGCCAGCTTACCCTGTTTCCCTGGCATCTGATGGTTGGGTGTTTCCAACTTCTCATGTCAGCTTGAACTAAGGAAAACACAAAAAGTTGTTCAACTCCCCCCTGACCAGATGACGTTTTATCATGGATATCACCCATACTCTGAATCCCCTGAGATTCCCTAGATATTCTTCAGCTGCCCCCCATCCCATATCCCATCGACTTTAAAATCATCACAATATTCTCAACATAACTTTATCTAAAGTCTTCAAAGGAGGTATCTTATCAGCTTTCTTCAGCAGTCCCTAAATGCTACATCTGAAAAAACAAGCTTAATGCGCAATACGGTCTGAGAAGGAGGGGTGGGGGTAGAAATGAAGAGGAAACATTCTACATTTTAAAAAGCACCTAAGAACACGATATTGTAAATTCAGATGAGCAAAAAGATGAGCAGCAACCAGCCCCGAATTTGCATTTTAGAAATCCATGAGCAGTACAAAGTACCACAAAAAGAAGACCAGCAAAATGCTGTATTACATAAACTGTTAACAGGGAATCTCAGCTTCAGAGAGAAATCTAAAAATTCTCCTTTGATCATGACTAGGAGGAAAAAGGATCAAGATGTTTTGCTGTTTAAAATAAGGCTTGGCAGAGAAGAGGCTGAGATATCACTGATCTATTCTATATCGCATCAGCTTGAAATATACACGGAATCACCCTTTTCCAAAAGCTAGGTCAAAGCAAAAGTAATAAAACAATTAAGTGATTTAAAGAACAAATAAAAAGAGGATGTGTACAATAAAGGCTAATACTGCTCTCTGCATCCACCTCCTTAAACAACAGACTGAGCCAGAAGCAAAGGGGGCTAAGTATGTATGAGGAAGATAATAACCAAATTGACTGGCAAAATGTATTTGCAAGTAGGACTGTACATAAAAAGAAGCCAAAATGTAGAATGTGGAAGTGGTTTAGACATGCTGTTATGTAAATCTGAAATCACACATATGTATTTGAAGTTTTACAGTGCATTTGGGATAAAAGAGAAACTCTAAAAATGACAAAGAACAAAATCAACCTTACTAGATTTTTATAAGAGAAACAGAATATAACAGAGAAAGAAAAAAGTACTTTAGCATGTTAAAGCAAGATGTCCTTAAAATATGGCTGAAACCCAATGAGCCATATGTGGCAACATAATTACTTTAAAGTGAAAAGAAATGTCAAAAAATATGGAAAATCTTACTGTCCCATTAGTGAATAATACAAAGGTGAATGCATCTATAAGTATTAATAAGAACCAGAGATTTGCATAAAAACCCTTGTAAGCAAATACAGAATCAGGTAAAGTGATCATGAAATAATAGTAGCTTTTATCAGCAAATTATGTGAAATTAACAATCAAAATTATGAATATAATTTTTAGGGGGTTTTTTTAATGGAAAAAGACTAAGCTACATGAAACATATCTAAACTGGAGAAAGTAGGAGTGGAGAGGGAAAAAATTAAATTACTCCTTAGGCCCCGTCACTAAGAAGTTTTCCAAAAGTATCAGATACCTCAAGAAACTGATGACTCTTACCCAAAAGCTATTTTTGACTGAATAGTATCTATGTTATAAAGTATTTGAGATTAGAGATTTAAGTAAGTACATTTAACATAGAAATATGAATAAAATTGTCCTTGAAAACCACACAATCTAAATGCTTTTTCAAGCAAATAATCGTTAGCAAAGACTGAAGGCAGACAATACACTTAGCTTATCTGCATAATCAGAAAGCTTATGACAACTGGTATAATAAAGCTGTTAAGTATGAGTTAGCTGACCAAGTTTCTATTTGTACAACATCTTGCCTAGATAGGAAGAATTATAATGTAAACACCACACAACACCTCCTCAGATAGGACAAACCATTCACCACATTACTTTTACATCTTTTCCTTTTCCATTAGCTGTGCATTTTTCCATATGAAAACACCATTATGATGCTTCTGCAAAATACTTCATCAGTCTATAATGGACTGCATAGGAGATTGCTAACTTACTGTCTGGACCAACTAGTTTTGTCATAACACTACGTATACATTTGATACCACATTCAGAGCAGCGCTCTCCGTAAGACGGACAACAAAGAAGGGTAAGTTAGCAGAGCCCAGGAAGAATTTGTTACCATCCACCAGCAGAACTGAAATGACACCAAACTGCAACGTTACGGAAACTTTTATACCTGACTGCATTAATCATACAATGTTAGGTTAGCTTATGCTGTGAACGGTGTTATAGAAAATGCAACTATGAACAAACACTGATTAAAGAATACAAAGATGAATCAGGATGTTACCTGACCATAATGGCAAAAAGTTTCAGATGTTTTTCCTGCCAGCCTCTGGCTTACAACAGTGCTTTGAGAAGTACTCGGTTTAATATAGATTGCAGCATCTCTAAATAGGTCTCACAGAGAAATATTATTCTGACTTGACTTAGTGAGCAGTATGAGAAGCATAGATTTCATGTTTGATCTTTAGAAGAACATGAAAAGGATGCCGAGACAGGGAATGTCCTTATTTCCATTGTGGAAACATAATTCCCTGAGGCTTTGAGTACAGCTACAATAGGAATTATGGACACTTCATTTTCTGACCCCACAGTTCCCAAGCATCTGTTTTAACCGTTAACAATAGACAGTCACATGGCTGTCTTCATTATTCTTTGTTTTACTTCTATGTAACAGAAGAATGAAATTACATTCTTATCTTACTTTAATATAAACTATTCCTGATCAGCTGAATTTGGTTTAAATTCAACACAGGGGCCAGGGCAGCCCCACCTGCAGGGAAACGGAAGATACCGGATTTCATTTTTTTCAACAATTATTTCCAGTACATTGGAATAAATTCCAACAAACAGTTCCAAAACCTTAGTTCAACAATACTCTGTTCTTCAAAAATAAATGCAATTGTATCAAACTGAACAGTATTCAGCTAATAGTTAGCTGTGATAGTTTCACAGCACTGACACCAATTCCTGTAACCTATTAGGTACTGAAAACTTAGATGGCTTGCCTAAATTATGAATTAAACTATTACCTGAAGTTCAGGTCAGATTATTTTGTTAGATTGGTAACCAGCAAGACAAAAATCTAGACACAAAGCTTTCAGTAACTTGGTCTGCTCCTCTGAGCAGGTGCCTTCAAATCTGTTGACCTCACAGCCCTAGTACAAAGTGTGAGAGTCCCTCACTTTCACTGTCCTTTTTCTAGTTAGTGTGAACACAGCACAGACGAATCACTCCGAAATATATATACACACAGGAAATACAGGAGAAATACAATCTTCCTATTCTATGTCCCCTGAAGGCTAGGCCATATAAATTAGACAAACCCCACAACCTGCTGACACACATAATGACTTTAAGAGCACCATACTTTGCTGCCATGTTTCATATTTTTATATTCAAAGAAAACAGAAGGTAGTTCAGCAACTCTGTCAATTAAAGGAAAATGAACTCCCATCACTCCTTAATGTTGTCTTGATGAGTAGAGAGATACTTAGTCTGACAAATTCTCCTGCCATTTGAACTCCATGACAGCAATAAATAACATCTAAGATGTCCTTTTTATTAGGTTTTAACTGGGTAACTTTAATTCCAACATAGGTCCTTCAACCACATTTCCATGCAGCCTCAAGAAATTTTCTTTAACCGTTATTAAATGGCTAACAGATACTCTTTTTAAACCAGCCACTTCTAACAAAAGGTGCATTAGCCAGATCTCAGACTTGAACAAGTATGCCCCCAAAAGCATCTCTTTTCTAGGGAAGGTAAGGAAAAACCTCAGTATTATGCAGCAGTACTGCCTACAGAAGATAAACTGTTCTGGACTGCACCAAACCAAACACTCCTAAAAACTCTTCCAACATCCACTAATAAAAGTGACATCATAAAAATATTTGGACTGCAAAAATTAAATCTGGATACAGAGGACAAACGATATATAAAAACAGATGTTCTACAGTGACCAAGAAGAAAAAAAAAACCCAACAGCATCCCAGAGCAGGAGCAATAAGTTTTCATTAAAAAGGACTGATAATTCCAGTGCTTCTGTGCACATTGAGTGACATAACCGCAGTGGAGCTTTAACTATTCTGTTATTAAAACACTGTCAAGAGCAAGGATTCATGAAAATGATACAAAAGCAAGAGAAAAAGAAAAGCTGCTGTGTTAGCACCTAGTATCCCTATCTAGTCTGTTCACTCTTCTCTGCAAGTCCTTTCTGGTTTCACATACCACCATTCTTTCACGTTTAAATTCCTCTTTGACATTCACATTTTCCTCAAGAAATAAACCAACAAAATACATACATAAAGCTTAATCTCACCATCCAACATCTTCCAGTTACCGTTTCACTGAGCAGATTTCAGCATTTAAATACTAAGAAACAAATCTTCCAAAGTTCATTCTTAAACTCTGAAAACCAGCCTGTATATTTCTGTCTCGAAAATGTAATTAGTTTTCAATGTAGCAAAATACCATTGCTGTACAAGAGTCATTTCCATAAGACAGATGCAATATGTATTTTTACTTTCTTTGACTTGAAGGAGGTCTATCACAAAAGATCCCCAGCTTCTGGCATTATCAAATCCGCAACTGTAAGTAATAATCATCTATGGGTATATTTCCCTAAACTGTACGGACTAAAAAGAGAACATATTCTTTGGGAAAGAGCATTGGATAAAATTTCAGTCAAATATTAAACAAAAAACAGAAAACAAAAATGTAAAGTATAGCTACACATATTTCTAGAAGTGTAAAGCATAACAGAACTAAGTATTTTGAACAAAAAAATGTGTGCAAAGTTAAATGCTAAGTAAGATACTATTAGGTTCTTTGGACTCAGTTCTTCTGAATGATGTTGTTTATTTCTCCTTCTCCTACCCTCAATCTAAGAGTCTCTTTGGATGAGTCTAGTTTAATGTTTTAATAAACTGCCACCATCAACATTGAGGAAAAAAAAAAAAGAGCCACTATGCCTCTAGTAATTTTTCCCATGTCTTCTCAAATATATCCACATAAAAATTTAAAAGCCTTTGCTGTTAGAGAATGACATCGTAGAATTGGAGGTAATGATTTCTGAGAACTCTTAAAGAAAAGCACAAGTTCAAATCCTGCAAGGAATTCCAAGCAGAGAAACTCATCCATTGGCATTGGGCTCCATGCAGAATTGGAGGCATTTTTCAATAGATGTCAAACACTGAGCCATTTGTGAATAAGTATAAAAGATTATGTTTAAATATCAGTTAAAGAGATTAATCTCTCTCTGGACTCAAATGTCTTTCATATTCTATTTATGCTAACAAGCAAAACAAACCCCAAGACAAAGAAACAAAATGCCAAACTACAAGATAATGTGTCCCTGTCTCTATGGAGAATTAATGTAACATATATACTGCTTTTCTTGTTTAAACATAGTAATAGCAAAATCAGAGAGTATTTTGCACAAAGCCCACAACAATTATTTAAATAGACCAAAAAAAAAAAAAAAAATATCCGTTTTCACTTCAGATTTTCTACTGCCTTCAATATCTTTCTAAACACTGAAGTAACATCCAAACCTTACCATTAATATACCATCTGTAGCATAAAAAGTGGTATATTACCTTAAAAATACATTTGGCAGAAAGAAACTGAAGTAATTTATGAAATTGGATCTTCACTAAATAGAGTCACATACTCCTTATTAGTTGAATCTGATGACATTTCAGTTGAAAGTAATGCAAAAAGTAAACTAACAACTGTTCGCTGACCCAAATTCAGATATAGTAGAAAAAAGGAAAAAGGAAAAATACCTGCATAAATACACAATAGCACAACTAGTTTGGAATTTTAACAGACCACATGATTTATCTACATTTGTGGCATATCACCCCTCATGCATTTCACTACTCTCTCTGCAAAGATGCACAGCTTTTATGAATGTATCCATACAGATTTTTTATCAAAATGACTCAGAAATATATTTGAGTGATATAAGTGATATGATAATATATATAAGCGATCTGATCACAAACCTTTTCATTTACTATTGGGTCCTTCTTATTTGAAGAGTTAAACTCTTTTTAATAGTTTAAAAAATAGTGAATATTTAGGATAGCTATTTAGCAATAGCAAAAATCAGCTGTTACCTGACAAAATATTTTAGACGTTAATATTGTGAATATTTAACTACAAATATAAGCCAGCTTCTTCCCAGAAGGGAACACATTACTTCCACCCAAGCTTTGTTTTGACAGAACATCAAATCTTTCAAACTTAATCTCAAACTTAAAATTCTAAAATTTATGTTTTGGGGTTTCCTCCACCTCAACCAATAATTTTTAGAGAATATACAGAAATCAGATGGGTTTCCAAACTCACTGTTTCTCAAAAAAATGTAGTTCTAATTTTTACTGAAAGCATTTATATTCTCCAGAAAAAATAAATTTAACCAAGTATCTTTCTACAATGGGAAAAATTTATATTGAATAATTTTACCTTCAGAGTTATGCGTAGTTTTCTTGTGTTTTCGACATAAAATCCTATAAACAAAGTAGTTGAAAACTGTCAAGTCAGTCACGATTCACAGATTATTTACTCATCTTTTAAATTTAAATGCCAGTACATTTTTCTCCCACTTGTAAGACTCACTGATATACAAATCTTGCAGTGAAAATATGCTTTTCTAGCACATCACTATTTTGAATGCCACAATCATCATTAGAATTTTTTTGCAACAGTTTGGTTTAGATTCCAAAGTGGGGGTTTTCTGTTTTGCTTTGTTGTTTTTTGGGGGTTTTTTTGGTGTGTTTTTTTTTTTTTTTTTTTTTTAAAGAATGTGAAATATAAATACAAAAATAAACATAGCAGATAAATAATAGTTACATGTAAATGCCTTGTGAGGGTTTCTCTCTTATCTGAGCTTTATCATGCAAAGCACAGTAGTAGTGATATGTCTTGTGACATGTTTTCACGTCACAGCCGATGGTTGCTCCAGGACAATGGCATAAAGAGCACATCTGTAAAGAAAAAGAAAGCATAATTCATGTTACTGTTGGCTTAGTATTTCTGAGTTCAAAAATATAGTTACCACTGCTGGTGACAAAATAAATGGAGTTATGCACTTGGCATTACTCTTCCTGCTCTCAGATGTTTCTCATAATTTATTTTAAAATCAAAGAGAAATTTGTTGTAATTATGCAAAAATACAATAACCATCATACTTATTTTCTTCATTGAATTGCTAATCAATGTAACTTACTTTTGTGGAACGCGTTTGATGAAAGCAACAGAGCTATTCACCTAAATATCCCACTCCCAAGGAAAGTCTGTTTGTACCAGCCATTTCAGAAAAGTTAAAATCATAAATTGTACCGGTTTTAATTTTGAATTACATTATGAAGGTAGGAGGGAAAAAACCCAAAGACACCCATTTGGCAATGAATCTTGCAGTCAGAAATACTGATGACCTGCAAATTTACCTTAGCTTCAGCAGCTAACTTGACCTCTATTTTCTATACAGTTATTTCCTTAAGTCATTTCCAAAACACTGAATTTGGTGAAATATTTATTATATACAATGAATTTATTGCAATTAGACTAAATTTTCCTCTTTATGCTTATATTGCAGAACAGGTTAAATGGGAGCCTCTTGCTTTACTCTTCTTTCCCAGTAATTAATTCTTCTCATATTAAACTCATCATTGCTTAGGATACACCAACTATCATGCTTCTAAATTGCTCACTGCCCTTCTTAGACTGTGTTAGGAAAGGAAGTAACTGATAGTATCACAGTATTTTTCTCTGTATTATTTTTTAATGACATAATATTGCCCCAAAATCTCAGAATTTCCCATTAAACTCCCCTCCCAAGAAAACCAGAACTTTTTGTTTGTTCCTTGCACATTGCCCATGCCCCCAGAGAGTTACAATTAATTCCAAATCCTTAAGCGTAAATGTGCCAATGCAGGATACTCCTTACATAGATCTTTGTGGAATACACTCTCTACCGCGCTAGCTTAGTCAAGGTCTTCTTCTTAGTCTCAAATATGCCAAATATATATACCACCAAAATTATGTATCACCATCCTGTTTTTCAATTTTAACAGTTAACTGAACAGAAAAAATGCCAAAGCCTTGGATCATCTCCATTTACTCCTCTGCAAGCTCTGAAATGGTATGGTTATACACCATTCCCTAGTTGTTATCTAATTTGTATAGGTATTTTATCTCATAAATTTGTTATACATTATGGTTTAATATATAATAATGGCTGATCAAAGCTCTTTATAAAAGCCTAGGTTGAAATTACATCCATCCAATCAATTTTAGTCAGTATTTCAGTATTTTGAAAGCCAAAGTGACTAAAAGAAAACTTTATTTTTATGAACACTGTGATGTATCTGTATGAAGAAAACAGACCACAGGAATTTTCATATTATTTGGTCTATGTCTCCTGACAGTAATAAAATATTTCTTCCATTGGTAAAAGTCCTGCTGTCCAAATGGTCACTGTCAACAGCTTAATTAATTCCCAAGTTATATCAGGTATATGTGAAGTCTGAAAAGCTGCAAAATAGGTAAGCTCTTTCAAAAAAAATCCTCCCATGCACAGCTAAGAGAAATAAGAATGATATCAATGCCTTGCGATATTTAGATTTTGTTAAGTTTTTATGACTGGCCTATTCAGGTTTGAACTTACAAACTTTTCTCAGACAGAAACATATAACCGTCAGAAAGGCTCTACCTGTCAGTCATTATCACTTTAGGAATGAACAGGACTCAATTTTCAGTGCATACCTGGTCAGCAGCAGCACCTCCTGAAGGAGGGCAACTACATAAAATCTGTCAGCAGACAAATTTAGTCCAAGCTATCAATATAATTACTTAACCCGGTGCACCACGCTGAGATATTTTTGGTCAATGTGTTCCCACACAAAAGAACAGACTAGAACAGAAGGCAGACCTTACAGGGGGTATTTAGGCTAAACTATAAACGTTTAGCTCTAAGCTGCCTATACAAGTCAATGGAGAAAGACAGATTCCTCCAGAAAGTGATTCATAGCTGTAGTTTTCTGACAGCTACAGACAGACAGAAGGCACCTAAGTTACGATCTAAAATAATCTTGTAAATTCTCTCCAAATAGAAGACATATCAGGACTATGAATCTACTAGGTTAACCAGACCCAGTTTTTTGCAAAAAGCTGAACAAAGTGCCTGATACGTACAGCTAGTGAGCGCCAAGAATATATCCAGCTGTTGCATCAGTAAAGGAACGTAAAGAGATTCAGAAGCAGCAAGAGAAACCACCAATGACATAAAAAGAAATAACCTTCAAAAAACATTTAAGAGACCCAAGAATCAGTAAGTTTCTTTACGATCTGTAGTTCCATTTACTACCATGTTCTTTGGAAATTCCTCATCACAACACGAATGACTTGTGAATAGTTATTTCTTTATGCTTCAGCTAAACTAGAGCAAATAAAGTCCCCTGCCTTGGAAAAGATTCAAATGAAACACGGGATGAAATATTAGACTATTATTATATAACTGTAATTCTACAATAATACCTGTGACTACTCTCAGTAGTCCAAGAACTGGTAAACATGTAAGAATGCTTTAAATAACTAAGCTGAAAAATTTTAATGTGAGGAGTGAATTGATCATTTGTTAAAAATATTTTTTAGAAGCCTCACTCATTTCCCCAAATGGAAAACAAATAGCTCTAAATAATAATAATAATAATAATAA